GGACTGAGGGCGTTCAGTGCTTCCTGAAAGAACCGTTATGACAAATGACTTTATATATTCTGTTACTTGTAGCTTTTCTTTCAAAGTGGTGAGTTTCCTTACAGTGTAATAGTGTAACGTAATTAGTTATGACAGTACTTTTGCGTTTCGGACAAGCTTTACTGGAATTGTTTTTCAGTCCCACATCTCACTGTACAGCTCTGATACACTTTGATTTTGTCTTCATTCTCTGAACAATAAGCACATAATACAGATGTTGATTACATCAATAAATGTATCTTTATTTTGTGACATTGAGAAGGCAGCTTCCAGTGAGATGCAGCTTTACTTTCACATAATACATTACTACAGTGTTGTCTATAAAGAACTCCAAATATACAAATTGTGAGGAAATAAGTAGCAGTAATGTATTACTTTAAATAACCTTCATGTAAAGCTTTGTTATGTATATGCATTACATTCATCTAATACATATGCACTGTAACAGATTAACATCTGTGCATAATGTTGAGACACGTCACACTGCAATCTGCAACATTATGTTTATCACAAGTTATCAGTGTACCAACTATAAAAGCAGTATTATTCTATAAAAGACTGGATTGTTTTTATCTCTTTCTTAGTGATGCTATCCTAGCTAACACCAAGCTGCTTCCAGTGTTATAGCTAGGTTACAACTGAGCTATTCTATGCTAATATTTCACTCCCAGAGTTTGTTGTTAATATACTTACGAGTAGACCTGACGGAGATGAACATGCTGCTGCCATCACCAAGACGATGCGCGTTCATGTGGTGTGACGAGGAGACGGGGGCGGGGCTAATAACTCGCTCAGGCAGAAGAAACTGCCGGAAACGACCAAATCGCTTACTGCTGCTTTAAAATCAAAAACACCAGAGATCACTGTCATGTTGCCATCATAATTTACTTAAACTTTCCATGTCGATTTGAGAATTATTTTACCAGATAGTAACATAACATAACAAGAAAGCAGTTACATTGCTTGAACATCGAATCACCTTCAAAATCAAACCATTAGTTCCTTGCCCTACTTCTAAGAATAACTGATTCGAGTTATGTCGCCATCTAACAAACAAAGTATGATAAAAACACAATACCCTGGCGGAGGAAACTAGTGGTCTATTTTAAACCTACCCATCCGCTATAGTACGAATGACTCAATACTTGATCCTCAACCGGTGGACTGTTGTATATGAAGAATACCAAAGACCAAACCAACAGAAACGGTTTGTACTGGATCTATAGTATATAACCTTGTAAAGAATTAAGTCTCTCCAATGATTGAGAATAACTGCTTGGCAACACCTGAAAGATCGCAAGGGCTTTAAGTAATAAATCACAGACTTTTGATAGCCCTGTTTATGTATAATATCCTATTTGAAGAGTGAATATAGTGCGCAGGGCCTGGGGGATAAACATATGGGGCGCGCATGGTGAAATCAATACGCCATTAGCTGATCTGGCTTGGAGTAGCACAAAGGTACACGCGGCGCTCGATAAATCCTCACTTCGTCGGGTGCCATGTAAATGCAGGAAACATGAGACCTGAGGAGGGAGATTACAATGTTTTTATATAGAACTGTCAATGGCTGCAATGGAGGACAAAGAACTGTTTTAGGGACACTTTAAAATACAACATGACTATAAAAGGTCCATGTGTGTAAAATTAGTTTGGAGTCTACTGATAAAAGAGTGATTTTTTTCAGAGCTCAAAATGCACTGGAAACACTACTTTCTTTTCAATTTTTTTTTTACTTTCCTTTTAAAACATTCAATTAAAACCACTTTATGTTATGATGGTTTATGTATTCATGTTGGTTTACCTTCTTATGTACCACCTCAAAGTTGTGTATTATGCTCCTTTCCCTCCCTTTTGTCTGATGTCATAAACAGCTAATCTTAAAGCTGGGGTACCTATCTTTCAGATACAATGAAACTATGTATGTAAAATCCATCCAACTCTCTAAAGCCAATATATACTGTGTGTCATATATTAGTCTCACATTGAAAGTTGAATTTGCAGAATCAAATTGACTTTTGGACAATAATCCAGTTTTCAGAGTTTCGCCTGTGCTTGATCAATCAGTATCGTTACAGCCTGATTGATGAGGCCTTTTGGGAGTTTACATATATTTTGCTGTGCATGTGCTGAAGAGGGCCGTTAGAGCCAGCGGTGGTGTGTTCTTATCGTGACTACAATGTTATCGCGGGGGTCAGCGTTTGATGTCAGGTTGAGGTTAGAGTTTATGATAAGACACTCCCTGGGGTCAGAGTGGCTGCGATGGAGGAACATATATTCTGTGTGGCCTGTGAAGCTGGGGGACGATGACAGTGTGTGACGTGTGCGCACGCTCGTACACACACATGCACACGCGAGCACAGTTGCACACACTCATACACAACTGTCTCTTCCGTTAGCGTGCCGCTCAGTGTCACTGCAGGCTGCTCGGATTGACCTGGTTCTGTGTGAGACGTCTGGGAATCTGACATCAGAGGGGGCTGAGGGAAGTGCACGTGGATGTAGCTCGACAAATGTGGGCTGTAATGATGACGCAAAGCAGTGTAGGCAATGTGGAAGTTATTGTCATATGCAAGAAGAAAGGACTTTGGGGTGTATATTATATTAAAAAGGATTTTTTTTTTTTTTATGACCAGACTGTTTTGTTTACCTGATAGATATGACGGCTGTCTCTAAACTAAATTAGTTTCTAGCAGAAGAAGTTGAGGTTGAGATTCGAGGTTCACATAAAATGTAAAACTAACCCCAAAAGTTTTGGAACTACAAATTTGAACTTATATACAGTACAAGCTTGTTTTAAAGAGACAGTATGTAATATTATCCAATCAGAGAACAGAATGAGACGCTTCTTTAGGTTTCAATTTCATTAGGTGGAATTCAGCTGGCATTTCCTTTTAAGTAATCTTTTTTTAACACACATTCAAAAATAACACACATTGACTCTTCTACACTTTGCGTTTTTCATTTGCAACGCTATATTTACATCAAACCTGGTCCATCTACAGGCAGATTTTCCCCACATCTCTAAACCTTACATAACCCAAAAATACAGAAAGCTTTTTATTTTGCCATTCCTATTCCATAAAATACACCAAAGGATTTCCATAATTGAATTTTACCAGATCATTGACGCAGAATAGATATGTTACATTGTGTTGCTAACGCATCGAGTGTTGTCAGTGTAGGATTGTGGGGGAGGGGGTGGTTTGGAGGGTGTGAGAGGCTGAACAGAACTGCCCTCTCCCAGACGCCACGGTCGAGTGCCTCTCACTGGTATCACACGCGTGTCAACAACATGAATAAAACACATGTAATAAAGAGCGGCCCTCCTCCTCCTCACTGTGCTCTGACCTGCTCCTCTGAGTGGCACTCAATACAAGGCATGTGTGTCAGGCAGACAGAGATGGGGCAGTCCAACATGAAGAGTACAGGACAGCAACACAAATGAGATTCCATCAAATAAACTGTATGGGCATTTGGTACATACAGTTGTTAACTGGGATATACAGGAGATGATAATGAACCCAAATATTAAATCCACTTTGAATTTTAGATTTGGTTTCTTTGTCTTAATGGGATTGAGTACTAAGGCAGGGCTTACAATTGCGAGTTTTACTGTCTTCTTTTTAAACTTCCCCTTAAGCTTGCAAGTTGCAGATGCATTTGATTGGTCCACCCACCTTCCCTAACCCCGTTTGTGATTGTTTAAAATATAGGTGAGGGGGAGTTTTTTTTTTTTTTTGGACCAGTCTAGTTTAGCCGACTGAATGGGGTTTATGCCCCGTGGCCATATTGAAACTGCCCACAGAAGGTGAAAGTGCAGGCACATTAGTTTCAACGGTGGAGATAGGAGTGACTACGTCCATTAATATTTACAGTCTATGGTTTCACTCCACACACGGTGATGACAGAAGCACCAGACTCTCCAACTTTCACCATCCATTCTGAGGAAGCAGGAGAACCCGGACGAAACAGACGCTCTATATTTTAAAAAAAGCTCACATAGCTATGCGCCATGGCAGTCTGGATGAGGTGGTTGCAGGTACTGACTTATCAATGCTGGTGCCAAACCTGCAATGCCATTCTCAATTGTAATGGCAATGATACCCCTCAGCGTGTAAGAACGAAGAAAAAAAAAGAGCAATATATACGAGAATGTGTTTGTTTTCCGTCTTTTTGAAAAACTTATTAACAATGTCATTTTTCATTACATATTTTTGTCCAAGAGTCATTTTTAACCGCCATTGTCCTTTGAATTTAATTCTACAAATATTAAGACAATTAAGACAACAGAATTTCCTCTACAACAGCAACACATTTCGTTCACTATTTTTCTTCTAGTCTCCCAAGTCTCTCCATGCCTTTCACAAATGTTCCCACATCCAACTCTGAAAAGTATCCATTAACAAGCGCACATCAATTGTAGTTTTTTTACATCCTGATTTATCCCACCATTTTGGATCCAACAGCCCGACAGTCGTTTTATCATCTCACACCAAAACTAATTCCTTCTCCTCCCACCTCCAGACTTCACTACCGCAGATCGCCCCTTATCTATGTGCGCGAAGAACATGAGTAATAATAATAGCCTTTCTATTTGTGAGGGGAGTGCTGCAAGTTGTTTTAGTGCATTGGCCGGAGTGGGTGCATTTAAGGCTATTGTTTAAAACACTATTCGTTGCTTGGAGTTAAAAGGGAGTAGTACTTCACTTCCTGGAGAACTGCAGAAGGTCAAATTTGAAAAAAAAGACATGAATTACAAGAACAGAAGGACGAACAAAAATATTATTATACCATATGAGGAAACTGCATCTACTTGAGCTGACACAAAGCAGAGCAAATGTAAAAAGATAGCGATCAGTCAGTAGTCATTGTAACACTTAGCGAAGATCAATGGCAATTACGAGGCCAACTATGTCACAATCCTGAAGACAAACTAGGAGAAAATAATAGGCTCTAACCTTGGACAGGTCCCTGAAGTTACTGGGCAAAGTGAGGTCCAGTTCTTCAGAGTCGTAGTTGGTGATGACCCAAGGGAAGACAGGGTACTGGTTTAGGTCATTGAAGCTGCGGCCTGGAGGAGGGCAGAAAGAGGAGTGTGTGTTACTGTAGAGGACACTATAGAGCAGAGCTGTCCAAACTTTTCAGTAAGAGGGTCACACGAGTTAACCAGATTTGAAAACTGTTCTGCATTCGGGCTGTTCTGATGTCAATATAGATTCACACCACAGCCATATTAGCACCATGTATGGAATTCTGTGACACAATTAAAAACAAATGTCAACTTATACAAATAAAGCTAACGACTGGATTCCAGATGTTCTGCGCAATGAAGTATGGCATGACATTACTGGTGGAGCTGACATTACGTAGATGACACTGTGAAAATGCCTAATTTGGGGCAGAGGGTCACATAATATACGGGTAGTATAAGGGCCACAATTGGCAACCGTTCAGACAACCCTGCAATAGTGATTTGATTGTTTCCTAAAAAAATTGCCAAAAAAAGTTAAAAAAAAAAGTTAATATAATACTAAGATCTGGTTATGTAAATAAATGATCAATAAATCTAAATCTTTATTCATAACATGCTTTTCATAAAACAGTGTCACACAAAGTTTTCAATAATTGACCCATCAACCCAATTTATTATCCAGACATCCATGACTTCTTATATGCCTTCATGAAATAAATATGAAATGTTATGTTGAAAGTGTAACTGCATGCATCCAAACAGTAAACCATTTTGTGTATGTTTAAAAAATGTTTGTTTGTCCAAAATTGTACTAAATATATATAAACCATTTGTTTTGAATTTACGATTTACAATTTTCTTCTTTAGATTGGATTCACAATCTTTGAAAATCAGACCACTGCACACACACAGCCCCTGGAGCAGGGGGAGAAACACGGTCACATTTGTTAGTTAATTTCTCTAATTCCAGGGCCAATCCACATGAAACAAAAACAATCAAAAAGTACCACATCTTCTGTGTCAGCATATATCAACTAAGGTCTAATTATTGTCTCATAAAGATGTCAAAAAGTGGTGAGAATATTCCAAAAAATATGCATGATGATGGCCAATGAACCAGACTTTGAGACATAAGAATAATAAGGCAGTTTTTTTCTTTTTTCTTTTTTCTGTATTGGCACCTGCCCTCTAACCAAAATTCTCCAACACAACCCCAACCTATTACTATAAATAAATGAATGCAGACGGAACACCATTATAAAAGATACTTGAATTCTTTTTTACACTAAGTCCGAACCTTATTAATCCACTCACATTACCCACATTCTGCTCAGAGTTTGCAAACCATTGTATACTCATAAGTCTAATTACCAGAAATAGAATTGAGGAAGATGAGGTACTCGAAGTTGGAAATCTCCCGCCGCTGCCAGCGCTGGGTCATGTTGGACGCCTTGAAAAGCTGCTTTGGTGTGGCCAGAGAAATGCGCCTGTCCAGAAAAAGCACAAATCACTCGGTTAAGACACTGTAAGCAACTATTTAAAGAGGATGAAACGGAGCGTAGTGAGTGAGGATGGGGTGAATGTTGTTTGTCGTATGTGACGCTGTTTGTTTGTCAATCCTGTTTGTCTGGTCATTAATTAATAATACTATAGTTGTATAAACAGAAATTAGCGCGCATGTTACATTGAAGCACACCTACACATACTTACGTGACTCAGATAATTCTTTAGAGACAATTATGAAATTAAAATCTGTTTAAGCAATCTTTCACAGAGCAGAGTCACAAAGAGCTTGACAGTTGTTGTGGGCATTTGTCACTCACTCCACAGAGAGACAGGGGATGAGGTTTAAGTTTATTTCCACCAAACAACTCAATGTGTAACAAGTTAACTCTGTTCTGGGGCATAACTTGAGGTTTATTTTGGTCAACAACAAAAAAAAAACATTCACTGCGTTATGATCTAAAGAAATGTCTTAATTGAAAGAATTAACAAAGTAATGTATATCCATAATATATCATGAGTATATGAAGAACGGTATTCATTATTTTTGTTTAACTTTTTCTTACTGACCATATGATAGAATGTCATTGATTTAAGTGTCATGTCATTAATTGTTAACCCTTAAAAACAATGCAATCTAAAAAACTAAAAAATAAAAGGACAAAAGCTGCTTCTGTGTGACCAGGGAAATGCGCCTGCGGAGACAAGGTCAACACTATTTGAGCCAACGTGTTCTTTTGCCCTGTGCGTCCAGACAAAAATACACGGTCGGTAATCACACCGCAAGAATTGCACCCCGGCTATCATTAGACTCACACAAGTGCCCTTCATTGAGGAAACTATTGAATTTTAAGTCGTGCTAATTAACAAGATAAATATGCAATAAATTGGGGTGAAGCTTGTCACAGCGCGCACACACACACACGTATTACATATAATCTGCAGAGTGATGTATGAAGTTAGACAGAAACAAATGACCCCACATCTAATTAAAACAAAGGAAAATGATGGAATTAATCATTGTCAAGGAGTTGGATTATGGTCATTAGGACTTCTAAATGTGAAAGCAAAGTCCTTCAAATCTGAGGGTGCTAGGGCAAACACTCACTAGTTAGTAATGATTCAACCGCCATATATAACTTGTAACTTTCTTTATGTGGTTTGTCCCAATTAGAGCTATTGGTGTCTGGAATAACACTCACCCAGTTGCACCATTGTAAGGTAAAGCTGATATTTTTTGTTTCATAAATAATCCATGCGGTTCTTCCAGATTGAAAGAGTTGTAAAAGTAACATGTGGTGAACAAATCAGATAACAACGTATGTCTTCATCTTATTAGAAAACATGTCATCATCCTTCCCTATACACCTCCTGCACCTTTTCTGGGGCCAGGACTTTCCTGAAAAAGAGATTCTGAAATCTCAATGATAGTTTTTTGGTGAAAAAAAAAAAAATCCTTACAAAAAGAATTTGTTTGCAAACTTGTAAGATAGAGCCCTGCAAGTCACCATTTGACGCATTTGCGGCTGAGAGTTCATGGGCTACGAGTCTATTTCATTTTCCTGTCTGAAAAAGCTGATCTGAAGATGACAGAGAGCAAAATACATGAAAACAGTTTTTAGAACAAGGAACTAGTTACATATTTTGGTTACGTTGTTAAATTTGTTGCGGTATGAAAGTTAGGACCACCAGCTTTAATATATAATGTACTTTAAGGATATTTTATTAATTAAAGGCTTAGTAATTCCATTCACAGAATTGCATCTACTATTCAAAGCTGTATCATGAACAAAAAAGACAGTATATGTGTGCCTCATTTATAGAGAGTGTTTTTCTTGACTTGGATGCTGCTGTGCTAGTATTTCAGGAGTTTTCTGATAGATTGTGCTGTGCTGGCCGTAAGAGCCAGAGTAAGCACAAGGCTGGCCTGTACAGCTGTCTGCAGGTCAGGGAGCCAAGGTATCCCTGACCTGCGGCTGGTCTGATTAATGAGTCTGCTACAAACAGATACATTCTGCTGGACCCCCTCACGCTGGCTAAGAGTGGACACATGCTCCCCTCTACATGGCTTCACTCACACAGAGGGAAGGAGCACTAAGGTAGCCGTGAAAACGCTGACACGACACCACTTTGGCCTTGATAGCACAACTTTAAGGTTATACAATTGTGTGGTCTCTATACAATTTACTCAGAAAAAAAGGATTATCACAATGACAAAAAAACCAAAAACAGGATGCAGAAATATGGGGTTAAACATGGCCCCCTTTTTGAGTCTTTGGCCTGAGCTTAAAGTCACAGACTTTTACAGCTACAGAAATTCAATTGTTATGCAGGATTCATGCGCAGTGCAATTTGACCTTTTACAAAGCTGCATACTGCCCCGTCATCTGAACACGAGTGCAATTGTTTTTACATTGTCCTATATTGAAAACAAATAAAATCAAATCTGGCTGCATAATTGATTATGTTTGCAGTCAAGAACTCATGGGAGCTAATCTTGCAATTTTCATATTTGGTTTAAATTCAAGTTAGTATGGTACAAAATAAAATCAAATATACATTATAAATATACATAAATATCAGGGTTTTTTCAATAGAACATGTACTATAGATAAAGGGGTTGCAGCAAAAGAAAGAGCCAAGCAGGCTACAAGAAACAATTTGTTGTATGTTACAAGATAGAAAACAACTGCTTGAGCCATGATTGAGTGAATCCAATTAAACGGGGCTCATGAGATAAACATGGTTTTTAATAAGGAAAGTAATAAAAACAAAAAAGTGCTTGATCAAGAGTAGAGACTTCCATCATGCAGGAGCTGTGAATGTTGGAGTAAAAATGGCATAATACAGGCTTTAACATCTAGTTCTATGATTCACTTTTTTTCCAGGTACAATAGAAAGTTTGACAAACGAGTACTTTCAAAATTGAGTACAACGTATTACTAAAATCAATAAGTTAATGTTATATTCCACTGGTGTCATGTTGTATATCTCACCTGGTTTGTGGAAGGCCAAAGTTGGTTCCCACGCCAACTCGAGGAAGACTGTTAACCACCTTTTTGACTATGGTTGCATCGGGGAAGTTGAACATGACCGCTGCTGCTCACAAAAACAAAGATCATTGATGAGCACACTGCGTTATCGGCTTACACAGAGGCATGAACAGCATCTTACTTCTATTGGCCATGAAGATTTCCAGAGCCGTATTCTGCAACAAGTAACGTCTGGAGAAGACCGCACGGATTTCTGTGAACAGCCATTTTCCATGAAGGCCTTCAGTGTATGCCAAAATCTGAAAGGGAAATGAGCAAGAACAATAATTCAATACATGTCTGCTGTGATCAAATAAAAGAAGCAAAATAGCATGGTGCAGGGTGTAAAGGAATGGAGCTAAAGCCTTGGTTCATTTTTCATTTGCAATGGCAGGACACCCCTAGCAGCTAGATGAATGTCTTATATTGATCCGCTCCAATGAAAAAGCGATTCCTTTAGTGGGAGAATGGCTCCTATTCAGCCGTACTGAGGCAGGGACCAATTTACTTCACTAAAACATGATTCATATTACAGCTCATGGCGACAAAGAGACAGGTCATGCTGCAATCCTTTGACACAACGGAGATAAGGTTAACAGCAGATTTGAACATAATATTAGACAGAATATGTATTTTGCCAAGGTCAGATTATAATATTAAAAGTGCATAGATGAGCTGGGCTGAGCCGGTCCCCATGGACTTTGTGCTCGCCGTCACTTTAACACGATCTGACGGCTGTCGCTGTGGAGGACATATTCGGATGCTTAGCCCTGCCCCAACCATTCTCATTCCTACTAATCCACCATTTAGATATGCCGCTAACCTACTTAGCACTGCTTTGTTAACTAGCTTTTGTTTCGCCCTTTGCTTTCAGTTCCGAATGCATCTGCTGACAGTGGGCGTACTGGGATCTGGGAAGACGGTAAGGGGACGTTTTTAGCTTGTCACAGCAGAGTTCAGAGGCGGTGTTATTAATCAAAAATATTCAAATTCAGAGCCAGGGAGAGATAGGCCCCGCTCGCTCATTAAAGGCATGGGACAGCGGGCAGAGCAGCTGAGGCCCTTAGCCGGGGACAGCCTCCTACCACAGGGTCTCGGAGGAATAGAGGCTGCCTGCATCACAGACTCACTTCAAAGTCTCTGGAGTTCAATTAAATGTGGATTAGAAGCTGAGAGAAGCTGGCTGGGGCCGTTGTCCGCCAACCTGCTATCCGCCTTAACAGAGGACTGGAGATGACTGGACCAGTTACTGTCCGTGTGTGGACAAGCTTGGCACCAACAGGACAAGGCCGATTTTGTCATGAGAAAATGTTGATAGAGGCCCAGCTATGAACTGCATATTTAAATGGAAAGCGTCTGAAAACTTTTCTGATGAGTGTGGACAAAGGCAGACCAAATATTGGACAAGGGGAAGCTCCCTTTGTTAATCTGAAGTAAAGATAACCTAGGAGGACAGAGGAAGAAAAATATATATATATGTATTTTTTTTGATTAAGGAGTATGTTCAGGGCAATAATGTCACATATTTAGATTGAACGTCATGGAACGACAGAATAGTTCTTCATAGTTTTGAAGATAATTTTGGTGAAGAGCAACCCATTTAGTTGTGCATTGGTGGAAGGGAAGCACACATAGTACCAGACTTTCTATATTTTGAAAATAAGTGAATTTTGATTTTATGAATCCCCAGCCACTGGTATATCTGCTGTACATAGGCAGTGGTCAAATGGGCCGATGGCGCAGATTGTCAGCCTTGCTTTCTTCAGCCCACCCCAGGGCTTTTGTAATTTCTTTGACAGTCAAAGATATCACATTCTAAATGTGGTAAATGTGATGTAAATCTAAATCCCTCGCCTTGCATTCAAGTTCAGTTCTTTTGTTAAAATGAACTAAAAGCCAACAGTTAATCTCATATGTCAACACTTTCTTTTAACATCTTGTCCAAGACGACATATATGTTCTTTACAACCAACTCTGGTGGCCAACCTTTCACCTTCAAATAGCCGTGGATGACTCATGTTACCCCTGAAGCACCCTCCAAGCTCTCATGATGGGTGTCCAGCCACTGCCCTGAACTAGGGGGATGAAGTTGATCGTTGATCGCTCACAAAGTTGACAGCAGCTCAGACAGTCTAGACCTCATCATATCTTTCTAGTGCCTATGAATCTTCCCTGTTATAGTCCCTTTGGAGTGGGCTTTTCGTTTGCTGATGAAAAAGTCCAAAGCAACAATAACAGTCCAGCTGCCAAGAATGGTGACAAACTGGGGGAGTAGAAATGGCAGGCCTGTTCTGACCAGCTCTGAACAAATTGCAATGGTGTGGAAACTAATGTCCGGGCAGGAGTAATCGTCACACATGATGAATGAGGATGGCTGGACTGATCAGCCAAGATTTAAAAGTGGTTGAGAAACAAACAAAAAATCCAGAATGCAACAATACACATTTGAGATTTCAAAGTTGGAGTTTTCAGGGAGGGTAATGCATCAATATTTCCAATGAGTCAAGATGCACAGGTTATAGAGGAAGAGTCTATCGGAGCATAATGAGGCAAGGATGAGGCTATGGAATGTTCTAATCAGAAGAGTTGATGTAGTCTAAAAAACATGTTTTCTGACAATGGAAACAACTCCAGGCCTTTTGTGTGTAATGCATGGTCTTTATCACAATATGGGCTCAATCATCATAATGCTCCTTTTTTTTAGTTTGAATAACATGCATTCTGTATGCGAGGGGTTTGCTTCAAAGATCTCATTGATATTGTGGCATAACTACCTTACCAAGTTGCATATTACAGAATGGCAACACAATTGGATATCGATCTTACATGTCAAGTTAAACTATTTCTATGAATACAGGTTTGGCACATCCCACGATCAATTTCAGAGCGTCACAGGAGAAGGAACAAGCTTTCTGAAAACAAAGGGCCAGGTCTTGATTGTGCTGCTCTCTCTGGGTCTCTCGCTCAGGCAATTCTCCCTCCTCTTTTTTTGAACCTGTTTGTGTGGCTCCTGGGCTGCTGCTCATTTCTGATACACTGTCGTTTGTCTCTGTCAAGACGCCCAAAGGAGAGGGGAATGAAGAGGGACACATGAAGCAGAGCCGGGGACTGTGGCTACGGCACGGAACCGCAAACACGCTAAATCTGTCACCAGGCAGTCCCCTAGATGCCCTGCCCTTTCTATCTCGCTTTTTGTGCTTTGCAAACACAGACACTATGAGAAAATCAACATCATTGTCAATATGCTTGATAACATAGCATTTCAGAAATACAAGAAATATGTTAAATTGTGGATGAGGCCACTATCACAAAAGTAAATTCCAATGCAGTAATCTTGTCTTATTTTATCAATATTATTAACAAGTATATTCTCAGGACATTAACTTGCACAGCAATATAAATGTATCCTGCAAGTTAATCAATGAAATACTAACACTGTACTTTGGCATGTGCCCTTGAATTTGACCTATGTACTGTTTATCAATAGCCAATGCAAGTCAATATAATAAAGATGAAAGTGAAGTTCCAGTTGTTTCTTTGAGAGACTGTATTGTTTGTATTGTGGTCACCCAGTTGTGCTAATTAGCACCCATTCAACGTTCAAATTTGTTCAACGTTCAGAATAAGTTATCAAAAAGCAAAAGAAAAATATTGTTTTAAATTATTGTTTGAGATGAGAAACTATAAAAGAGTGGCAAAAATGCATGCAGGTATATATGTTATGGTAGTTTTTTTTGTTTTTTTTTGTCCCCTGCATCCTTTGAATGCCACTAGGTCAACCTGTCAGGAGAGGTGGTCTTCAGATGTTGATACTCTGCTTGGTCAGGACTACTGGAGCTGGAGAATTTGAACCATGGAGTATGTTTTTAGTGGTGGCAAAATCAGAGCATCCAGAGGAAACCAACCCAGACGTATGGAGAGACATGTACCCCAGCATTACAGTTGGTAAAAAATATGGATCGCTAAGATGTATGCTATTATTATCATTATAATATTCAAAGTCAGTCATTATAACAGTGCAAAGTATAGAATGCAATGAGAATTGTTGTATTTTGCCATGGGTGCAAAATTATCTAAAGACTGAACACTTGATTTTGTTCGTGTTTGTGCCACCAATAAAAATATCTTCTAAGACAATCTAAGACCTTGGCATTTTCTTCAGATAAGCAGAATGTTTTTCAGTTGTCGGTCAAATAATTATGTTTAGGTTATAGGTTGTCACTGTCCACTGTGGTATGCCCGTGATAACCAGCACTGGAGACTGGATTGTGGAAACGTATAAATTACTACTTATTTCAGTTGTTGTACATTCTCACAGCTAAAATCAACTGTTAGTACTCACTGAAATAACATACACTTTGTTTCTTCCAAATAAAGCTCCCAATTTTGTAAAAGTGCATAAGTGCATGTGTATGTCATTTTAAATTTCAAAATCTAAATAACAAAATACAAATAAAAAGTTGAAATGACTCCACAATCCAACTTGTTTAACTTACTGCCCAAATTTGTCCGCTTGATAATAAACCATGTAGGCTCCTTCCCTATGTCCTGCCCCGTATAGTTTTCATTGTTAGTATAGGTGAAGAGGCCGGAGACAAAGCAGAAGTGAATTTGGGCAGCAACAGTGGTGCCATCAACGCTGGTCCAAGATAGATGAGGCTTTCAAGTGGCGACGCATTGGGCCAGCCAGAGTGGGGGTGTGTTCTGCGCCTGATAAGACCCTCGAGTTGAAGAGAACGGAAGCTATTGTCAATTACCCAAAAAGTCTTTGTTGAGGGGAAAAAAATAGTCAGATTGCAACTTCACAGCACTACCTTGCTATAATAAATGTTCCCAACCTTGTCCATGCTGAAGAATGAGATATGCATATTTGGCTATTGGGTTTAATGCGCTGTGCATCCTTGAGAGAAAATGAGGTGATTGAAGTTCAATTTGTTGCCTGTTATTAAGTATTTCCGCGTGGCTGCCTCAGTTAAAGGATAATGGATGAGGGAATTATTATTACCTTTTGGTCAAATGAAGTGGTGTGGGAGATAAGGTGATGAAATTAATGAGCGGGAGGAAGAGTGGTGATCCATCAACATCAAAACAGAAGCCGGGGACAAGCCCGATGGGGAGGACTTGATAGAAATCATATTACAAAACATTGTGGATTCATCAGCATGTTGAGTTGGGTTGCTTTCATTGCACAAAGGCTGCCTTGTTTGTATGGCAGTGATAGCAAAAATGAAATATTGTTTGAAAGTTTGTGAGTTGACTGTGAGCTTTCTTGGAAGATTTTTTTAGTAAACACGAAAAATAAAATAAACAAAGTATTTAGACATAGAAGTGGATCAGATCGGTGCATCAAAATACCAGGTTGCTACATGTTAGGTTGTTCTAACCCCAAATACTGAACAAGGATTTAGGTTCTAGCCATCTCAGAGCAACAGGCCAGGCTTCAATCTATCAAGGGCCAATTTTAGCTATTGTATCAACCAGAAACATAGGACCGAAGACATCACGAATGTCTGTCTGTCTGCAGGGCCAACTTATTTCACTCATAGCAGGGAAAAGAGCATATCCTCTTGCAATTGCAGATAGATAGATATACTTTATTGATCCCCAGTAGTAGAAATTCAGGTGTCCAGCAGCAGAAAACACATACAGGTCTCTTGTACAGTCTGTACAAAGGGATGTTCAAATGATTGTTGAGCCCTAAAATGTGAGGGTAATGGTTGTTTAATAATGAGGCAATGTGTTAGATATTGTGACAGCCCTACTGAAGGCCAGATACCATTATGTGTGCATGTGACTGTTTTTATAATATGTATGTAAGTGTTTTATAATCTGTAATGCATGTAACTGTATGTAACTTTTGTCCAGGACTCCCTTGAAAAAGAGGTTCTTAATCTCAATGGGACTTTCCTGGTTAAATAAAGATAAAATAAGAAATATTATGTTGATTATCATTGTTTATTTTAATTTCCGTAAGTTATTTTCTTTGGGGGGGGGTAGTTATGTTTGTGTATCATTGTTATGCTTATAAGAGCATGTTGTTTATGTAAACCACAAAACATAAGGATTTTTTTTTTTTTCCATTTACAGTAAAACCACATTGAAATACATGTGCAAGAGTACCTCAGTGTGCACCAGACAAATATATACAAGAAAAAAGGTAAACAGAACTTTAAACTACAACAAAATATTTGCAATTCAACCCACATGTTTTGATTCTATAGCATTACTTCTGGAGTACTTCAGTTACTGTTTGTGTGTATTTAACCAAAACTGGACCAAAGGAGAAAGAAGGCTTAATAAATAAAATAAATAATAAAACCAATGCTTTCAGATGTATCCATGTTTGGATCTAACAAGACTAGAGCCTGATATAGTAATGCTGGTCCAGAGCTTGTTCTCAGTCGACTGCCCACAAAATCGATCACGTGTGTACCCATGAAACCAGTGAACCATGGGGCTATACCTCTGCGGCAGAAAACGCAATAGACAAACACGATCTGACATTTAAGATCCTTCTACCCTCCTGCGCCACATGTATAAAAACACTAGTAATCTTTCAGTACTAGTCTTTTTCTTCCTCAGACCGTATTCCTTCACACCTCCCCCTGTGTCTATGTTCCACGCTGGTAAACAAGGCCATGTCACCCCCATCATTAAATGAGTTCATCGGACTAACGAGCAAGCAAAGAGCCCACAACACTAACAAGGCTCTGCTGGCTGCCCATGCCCCCAATCAGGGGCCTCATCACGGCTGACACAAAGCCTGCCCGAGCCCCCTGGAGCCAATTAAGACAGATTTTCCTTTTGGAGATTGAGTGGTATAGCGAAGACATAGGTAACGTGTGCATGAGAGGTCCTTGCACTATAGAGCCCTGGCATGACTCTGCGTCAGAGGAGTGCAGGGAAAGTGATACGCAAACAATGGGAAGACAAGTGGAGTTTTGAAGAAGACAAAGGGTTGCTAATTGGAGGAGAGCTCATGTGACTTGACTTTTATGCTCCAGTGGTTATCTGCAGGTCAGGCTTGAACCACTTCACTTTTGTGAAGGGTGGACTTTGAAGTTATGTAGATATATGTACAATTATTATGGATCGAACATGATTTAGTTCCATTTTGCATGATATAATTGATCATACTCCTCTCCCCTAATAATATTGACGTAAATTTAAAGGCCATATTGGGTACATCACTACACCTTCAAAAACGGATGTGACAATTCAATGGTCGGAAATCTTGCTTCTATTTAATATAAGTATAATAGGGCTGCAACAAGTACATTGATTAACCTCAAATAGAAAAGTTCAATAATTGAGTAATCAATTATCAATCAATCAATCAATATTTATTTTTAGAGCGCC